GGATCTCCTCAGCGGACCGGGAGGCCAGGATCTCAATCAGGCAGCCCTCATCCGTGCCGGCTCCCTAAACACGAAACGTGGAGGAGAGAGCGTCATGAGCCAGTTTACAGAGTTGCACCTCAGACGCAGAAGGAACACAACAATGAATCTGCAGAGAACAGAGACAGCCCACTGGGTTCTAGCAACTGGGATTTGCTAACTTTTATTGCCCGGCCCCAAATCCAATGCGTTTATCGAAATCATTATCAGTAATAACAAGCATTTATAGACTGTTTACTATGTGTGGGTTATTGTGCCAGGTTAGATACATTTCTACTCTCTGGGGGTTTAACCTTTCCTTGACCTCCCCTATTCTCTTCCTCTGAAGGGCAAAATCTTCTGGCAAAGGCTTTGTTACCTCTTTGCTTTCCCAGAGCCCAGCCCAGAACCTTCCACAAGGCTATTTATTGATATGGTTGAAGAAGGGAACTGAATTCAGATTTCCCACTTGGTCATTAAAAATCAGCAGACTTTGGGCTATGGCACAGTGGACTGATCATCTGAGAAGGCTAAGAACACTTTTTTGCCAGTTCTAAGCCTACAGCAGCAGACCTGGAGGCACCCAAGGTATCAGTCATAAAGTTCCATTATCTCAAAACTAGCTAATACGACAAGAAACTTTCTGGAACTGCACCAAAAGCACAGTTCTAATAACTCCTTACTGAAACACAGTATAGAGCAAACGATTTCATAGCTTTTTGGAAATTAACTTTTAAATTACAATTGCTATAGTGTAATGTAGTATTTTCAAGCTGTCATAAATGAAGGAAAGTCTTTCTCCTATAGCTTATCCTTGCCCCTCTGAGAAGGCCTTTGTCACAGTTTATCGAAGAAGCACGTTGGTGTTTGCATGACAGCACTCAGGGCGTGAGAACAGGCACACACACCTTCATGGCCCGCCTCAGCTCCTGCACGTCATACAGCACAGTGGGCGTCATCATCCCCACGATCACCTGCTCAAAGTCGCCACTCAGTTCTGACTTCAAGTCGTCTATCAGGTCCTGCAACACAAGGAGAACGAGGCTCCAGTTAACTGGTAAAACCAAAACCAAACACGCTGCCGTCGAGTCAATTCCGACTCATGGTGACCCCATCTGTCACAAGGTAGAACTGCTCCATTGGGTCTCTTGGTTGTGATCTTTATGGAAGCAGATTGCTAGGTGTAATAGCTTAAATGAGCCATGCTCAAAGTGTGGTCCATGGACGCCTGGGGTCCCCGCGACCCTCTCCGGGGGTCTGTAAGGTCAGAATTGTTTTCATAATAATGCATATAATACATAATAATACCAAGACATTAATTGCCTTTTCACCGTCATTCTCTCATGAGAGTATAGAGGTGTTTTCCAAAGACTACCTGACATCTGAAAAGGGCTGTTAAAATACTA